ACTGTTTAGGGACATTTTCATTTTCCATTTTTTTTAGTTTTTTTTCTAAAAATATCAATAAAATTTTATTTATTGGTTGCGAAAGCTTGAAAATTTAATAGAAGGCTCCTAATATGTTGTTTCAAAGGCAGATGAAAAATATTAAAAATCCTTAGTCACAATTTTTTTTTATAAGCATTTAAAGTTCAAAAATTGACAAAATATGGAAAAATCACGAAAATTAGCAAATTATTTTGAGTTAAGAATTCGTAAAAATTTTTCTTTTTAAATCTAAGATTTGAAAATGAAACACAAGATTCCCTATAAGATTATCTACCTTTATCAATAAAAAAATCTCTACCGGACAGTCAAATTAAATTTTTATGAGCGTTTGAAATTCAAATTTTTACAACATTGGATTTTCACTCGATGTCTCATGTAGCGATTTCCTTATTTTGTATTTTGTTTTATCTGTTGGGCCAAAAAGTGTAAAAATTTAATACAAGGCTCCTGATATATTGTTACAATATCAGTTGAAAAATATTAAAAATACATAGGCACGATTTTTTTTTATAAGCATTTAAAGTTGGAATTTTGACAAAATTTATCAAAATCTCGAAAATTATCAATCGTTGGAATTAAAAAATTATAAAATGTTCAGTTTTTATAACTAAGAGTTGAAAATTTAAAACAAAGATTCTCTTAAATAATTCATACTGTAACCAAAAAATCTAAAAAATATATAAACACACTTATTTTTTACAGACATTTTAATTTCAAATTTAGACAAAATTTCATATTTAAACCAAGAATTACGATTTTAGTTATTTTGTTGTGATTGAATAATACTATTCGTGGGTACTTGAAACTTCTAAAGTGTACTATTATATATCTATGAAAGTATCACGGTTTTTGTTGATGTATAACGCGTTATAACTGTTATAAGTATCTAATGGATATTGTGATATGATTAATTTGGAATTTATTATAGGTACCTATTATAGGTCAATTTTTTGTTTAATACCATAGATATGTATATAATATGCCTTATACATAGACTGACATACCATCACCGCTCAGAATCGTTTTTCTTATACAATGATATTATATCATTGAATTCAAATTTAATACCATCCATTATACAGTGACCCACTTGTAACCTACTGTACAGCAGAGCGACACCCACTTGCCCACCTTTTTTTTTATATTTTTATACATAAATTTTTTTAGATTCTGAGCGGAGCGATGAATGTATTGGTTTTACAATGATGTATGTTTTTATATTTTTATTTATATTTTTGTGTCTGTCATCACGTTTTGGGACAGTAAAAGTGCTTCGATTTTCTTCAATAGTACCTTTTCTGATAGGAAAGTGAATCTAGTTGGTACTTTGTGGGGTCAAAAGTAAACATTTTCCAGTAGTTTTCACAAGCGCCGGGAAAAACAACATAAAAATTAAGGAAAAACGGGAATTTTTACGCAAAATCGATTTTCCAAAAAATCGAATTTGGTTTTTGGTGTAACTTTAAAACAAATGACCGTAGATACATGCAATTTTCACTGGTTGTTTATATTTGCATTTTCTATACACGATAACATTTTCAAAATATTTTGATTTATTTTGAACTGTTTAGGGACATTTTCATTTTTCATTTTTTTTTAGTTTTTTTTCTAGAAATATCAATAAAATTTTATTTGTTGGTTGCGAAAGCTTGAAAATTTAATAGAAGGCTCCTAATATGTTGTTTCAAAGGCAGATGAAAAATATTAAAAATCCTTAGTCACAATTTTTTTTATAAGCATTTAAAGTTCAAAAATTGACAAAATATGGAAAAATCACGAAAATTAGCAAATTATTTTGAGTTAAGAATTCGTAAAAATTTTTCTTTTTAAATCTAAGATTTGAAAATGAAACACAAGATTCCTTATAAGATTATCTACCTTTATCAATAAAAAAATCTCTACCGGACAGTCAAATTATATTTTTATGAGCGTTTGAAATTCAAATTTTTACAACATTGAATTTTCACTCGATTTCTCATGTAGCGATTTCCTTATTTTGTTGTAATTCAAAAACGAATAACTGTAGATACATGAAAATTTCACTGAATGTTTATATTAGCATTTTCTATACACCATACAATTTTGAAAATATTTTGACTCTTTTTGAGCTGTTTATGGACATTTACAGCTTTCAATTTTTTTTAGTTTTTTTTTCTATAAATATCAATAAAGTTTTATCTGTTGGGCCAAAAAGTGTAAAAATAATTTAATACAAGGCTCCTGATATATTGTTACAATATCAGTTGAAAAATATTAAAAATACATAGGCACGATTTTTTTTTATAAGCATTTAAAGTTGGAATTTTGACAAAATTTATCAAAATCTCAAAAATTATCAATCGTTGGAATTAAAAAATTATAAAATGTTCAGTTTTTATAACTAAGAGTTGAAAATTTAAAACAAAGATTCTCTTAAATAATTCATACTGTAACCAAAAAATCTAAAAAATATATAAACACACTTATTTTTTACAGACATTTTAATTTCAAATTTAGACAAAATTTCATATTTAAACCAAGAATTACGATTTTAGTTATTTTGTTGTGATTGAATAATATTATTCGTGGGTACTTGAAACTTCTAAAGTTTACTATTATATATCTATGACAGTATCACGGTTTTGTTGATGTATAACGCGTTATAACTGTTATAAGTATCTAATGGATATTGTGATATGATTAATTTGGAATTTATTATAGGTCAATTTTTTGTTTAATACCATAGATCAGGGGCGTATTTAAGGGGGGCTAGGGGGGCTAAGCCCCCCAAGTTGCTTGAATAGCCCCCCAACCAATTTTAGTTATATCAAAAAATGTATTTATATTCTGTAAATTTTAACTAGTGTAATAACTTCAGTTGTAGCCAATACAATAATATTTCAAGAAATCTTAGATGGCCGCACTGAAATAGATAAGAAACCGTGATTTTTATCACCAGATTCCACGACTGCATAGCCGTGACTGCATAGTTCGTGGTGACTGCTACCATAGACCTAGTAAAAGGTCTATGACTGCTACCGAAAAATTCTATATCTCTTATCTATCATATAATATTTGGTTAAGCGCGAAATTGGCATGGTGATAATACTGATAAAATGATAAGAAGAGAACTATTATCATATTAAATTTTAAATAACGAACACTTAACAGTTGAAGTTGAAATGAGACACGTCTAGTTCAAACCTTTTGAATAGCTTCATTGTCTTCATTGTCGCATATTTACAAAATTACAATGTAAGTACTAGTTTTTACATTTAATATATTTATGTTTATAATAATAATAATATAAGTTAGTATGGTTACTGCATTTGTATTACTTAAAAAGTAATAATATTATAATTAGTATATGTATATTTGTTTGATTAGGTTAAAAACTTGGCTTAAACGTTCAGATCAACCAAGTGTACTTATTCCTAATAATAATGAAGATGAACCAGATGATCCAGATGATCCAGATAATGATGGTAACAAAATATGTTAAATTTTAATAATTCTTACTATAATTATATATGCTCTAATTAAGTCACCATCACTTATCACATGAGTTAATTGTTTTATAATTATTTTATTTAGTTATGAGCAACAATGGTGACATTGAGTTTGAACTTGCTGATAAAGACAGTCAACCACATCAACCTTTACTTGTGTCATTTCCAAAAAAACTATTTGGTAAGCAAAACCGTTCATTTTCATCTAAATACTACAAAGATTATACATGGATAGAATACAGCCAAAACAAAGATTTAGTCTTCTGTTTTTATTGCCGTAACTTTGGTACTAGCTCAAATTCTGAAGAAGTTTTCACTAAAAGTGGTTTTAAAGATTGGAAAAAAATTTCAGAAAAATTAAATAAGCATAGCAAGAGTTCATATCATCTTTTTAGTTTGGCAAAATACAAAGATTATCAGAATACTAAAAAAACTGGTAATGTACATGTACAAATGTCTAATGCTTACAAAGAAGAAGTCGAAAAGAATCGTAAATACATGCTTATGATAATTGATGCAGTCTTATTTTTAGCACATCAGGGCTTAAGCTTCAGAGGTCATACTGAAAACAAAGAATCCCTTAATCAAGGTAATTTCAAAGAAATATGTGGTATGTTAGCAACTTATAATCCATCATTTGCTAGTAAAATGGAAACATCATATTTTAATTACACATGTCCTTTAGTTCAAAATGATTTAATAAGTATAACAGCTGGTTTGGTGAGGTCACAAATAGTACAAGAAATAACAGAATGTGGAATGTATGCTTTAATGTGCGATGAAGCCAGGTCATTCAAAGAAGAACATTTTACTATCTGTGTAAGATACACAAAACATATGGTGGTTCAAGAACGGTTTTTGTCTTTTGTTTTATGCTCTACATCAAGATCTGCAGCTGGTATTTCAAATACCATACTTGAAAGTTTAAAAACTCTAAATATTGATCAAGTGCCTATGATAGGTCAATCGTACGATGGCGCTAGTGTAATGGCAGGCCATATAAACGGAGTTCAAAAAAAAATTAGAGAATTTCATCCAGAAGCAATTTTTTTCCATTGTGTTGCACATAAACTAAATTTAGTTATAGTAGGAATGTGTAAACATGTAAAAAGTTCAGTTTTATTTTTTAATACACTAGAGTCCTTGTATATTCATTTTTCTAGACCATCTTCTCATCACAAACTAATAAATATACAAAAACAATTAGGCATTAAACCAAGAGAAATTATGCAGATAAGTGATACAAGGTGGGCATATCGTTTTGAAAATTGTGATATGGTAAAACAATATTATGGTTCTATTTTAGAAGTTTTAGATACTGAAGTTGAAGAAAATAATGATTTTAACTGTGTTGAGGCTAGTGGAATCTTAAATAACCTAAAAAAGGGTTATTTTGTTGTTAACCTTTTCATTTTTCATGAAGTACTGAAGTATATAAACATTTTGAGCAATAATCTCCAAAGTAAGTCTATGACTTTGGGTAAAGCTTTGGATATCATAAAAAGTGTTACTAAGACATTAGAGGACAAACGAAACGAACAATCATTTCAATGTTTGTGGGATGCATTGACAGAATTTTCTGAAAATTTTGAAATTAGTCTAGATACTCCATCCAATTCAAAAAAAAAAAGAAAAGTTTTTGAAAATTCTTTACTTAAGGATAGTATTGTTACATCTACAGTAGGAACAGATAATTTTGAAGAACAAAGTAAAACACCAGAAGCACATTGGAGAAGTCACTCATATTATGAGATTCTAGATAGCATAATTCAAGGATTGAATAGCAGGTTTTCAAGTGAAAGTTTATCTATTGCGAATGCTCTTGATAGTTTCTTAAAACTAAATACTAATGACTCTGACCCTTTTATTAACCACTATCAGAAGTTACTTAAAATTGATTCTGATCTACTAAAAGCAGAAATGATGGTAGCAAAAAATTGCATATCAAAAGAAGAATGGGATTTTGATGAACTAATAAACATTGCTAATGAATCGGTACTACCAAATTTAAGAAAAATGTTAAAAGTAGCATTAATATTACCTGTTACTACAGCTACTTGTGAGCGTTCCTTCTCTGCTATGAGGAGAATTAAAACCTGGCTGAGATCTAGAATGGAACAAAATCGTTTTGATAATTTGGCAATACTAAACATTGAAAAAGATTTACTGAAGAACTTAAACAAAGAAAAAATTCTTGATGAGTTTGCCAAAAAGCCAAGAAAATTAAAATTAAAATTCTAATATTAGGTATGTAATGTAATTTGTATGACTACTATGACTATATTTTAAATCTAATGACAAAATATTACTATTGTACATATATCTATTTGAGAAATTGTTTTATAATATAATATTACTTATATTACCTATATTAATTGTGAATTGCTATGTTGTATTCAAATTTGTTCTTATTAATGAATTATTTTTAATTGAATAAACTAAAAAGTCTTAATTAAATAGTGTTACTTTAATTATAAATAAACAAATAATCATATAAAAAAATATAGGTAATAACTAAAAGTAAGAATTTTGCTTGAAATTTTCATAGGGATTTAGCCCCCCCTGTTTTAGAACCCTAAATACGCCCCTGCCATAGATATGTATATAATATGTCTTATACATAGACTGACATACCGTCACCGCTCAGAATCGTTTTTCTTATACAATGATATTATATCATTGAATTCAAATTTAATACCATCCATTATACAGTGACCCACTTGTAACCTACTGTACAGCAGAGCGACACCCACTTGCCCACCTTTTTTATATTTTTATTTATACATTTTTGTCTATTTTTCAAAACTTTTTTACATATAATTCACAGAATATAATTTTTATAAACAACAACACATTTTTAACCACACCTCTTTAGAGACAGTCCTAAGTCTGTATGAAGTGGGAAGGAATTTGTGTTGTAAAAAACAGGATTACTACCCGGATTTTACCTGATAGTAAAACTTTTTTTGACAGGAGCCGTTTGGGAATTGACCCTTTTGAAAACGGTAGCCGTTTAGGAAAATCGGGAGCTGAACGGGCTATGCCCGTTAAATATAATTTTTGTTATAGTAGTATGCTTTTTTTTTTAATGATTTTTTACTGCATTAGGAATAGTGGATTGTTATTACTTATTAATATCAAAGTTTTTCTCTGGAATAAATTTTTCCAACTTCATTATAGTATTACTTCTTTTTTGGTTTTAATTGCTTACATTGATTTACAACTACATACTTCACACTAACATACTAACTCGACTAAGGCATTAAAACAAACTATTGTATTAATTACATATTTTATACAAAATATAGAACTTATTGAGAAAATTGATAGTATTATAAATTTAAATATTTAGGTATAGATTTTACTTCAAGGGATATCTCTAGATTTATGTTTTCAAAAACCGTAAAATACGATTTTATTAATTTAAGACAAAACTCGAATGATGGCCGTTTTTCAGACCCAACATTTATACATTAATTTATATCTGAAATAAAAAATAATCATAAGTATTTAGCTGTATCCTTGATTTATTATTTCAATAAATAAAACAAAAAAAAAAAAAATACATTATGAAATTATATTAATTTAATATGGGTCTAGGGAAAAGCTCGGAGACAGTGTAACTTCACGATGTTTTCTGATTGATTTATTTATACAATATTATTTCTAGTTCAATGCATGATATGATAATTAGACAACACGAGGTTAATATGAATAAAAGGGTTATGTCTGTGTTGGAATAATGGTTATCGAACAATTTGTTGATTGTTATTGTTGTTTCTGTTGTCGTAGTATGGTCTCTGCAAATAATGCTCAAAAATGTGACACCTTGATTCGTATGAGAATTTTGAAAAAAACACAATTTGGCTATTTATTTTTGCATTTAAGATAATGTTCTAATAATAATTTGTATAAATCCAGATTTTGAAGATAGAAAAAAAAATCAAAAAAATTTTCATTACAGTCCATCACACTGAGTACGCCTATATTAGTTATCTCATCCATTTCAGAAACACTCTGTATATTCAATCGAATGAAAAATTTCAGAAATCTTTTCTTTTTGTGAAAATTGGTGAAAATATCACATTTTTACATTTTTCTGATGTCGTAATGCCTTTGCATTCTATTAAGTAATGTAGGTAATTCAATTACTCATTTGTATCATTTATACTCTTAAATAAAATTGCACTCAAATAAAATATCAATACCATTCAAAAAAAAAAATTGTTTAAATCTCTTTTTATCTGTAGGTATTTATACACCTTTCAAGAGAAGGTTTTATCTCAATTGTATGCTCTCTTAAATAAAATAGAACTTTTGAAAATATTGACAGAACTGCCCACTTAGTAGTTACTTTGTTCTGTCATATACTATGTATGATATCGATTTCATCAAGTTCGTCATTCATATTTTCTATAAATGTATAAGTTTTTTATGAATGTCAGAAAATTCTACTTGCTGTCATTGGACTATTCTTTAATCATATAATATGATTTTAAGATATCACAGTTCTTACCCTGGAGATATTTAGATAAAGGTCCTGTGGTACTAAACATTTTGAGGAACACCGTTGCTGTTTTAATTGTCTCACATGTTATGAAGTTGTCTATGAATCCAGTCGATTTAGCTCTAGATTCCGAGTAATTTTGTATCGAGTTTTTAATTGTTTTCATTACTTTTATTAAGTTTTTAAATAGTATGCCATTAAAATTGTTGGTATCAAATGTTCCAAAAATGTTTTCGAGTGCTACTTCCTTCACCCACTCGTTTCTCCAATTAAATTTAGTTTTTCATTTTAATAACTAAATCATTACAACGGTCTATACGTACATGTGATCTTCAAATGAATCTAGCTGTGCTATTGAGTAGTTCAAATAAGTTTGCAGCATAAATTCCGATACCAGTGACATCTTGCAGTACTAAATTTAGAATGTGTACAACACACCATACGTGAACATGATTATACTCTGTTACACGAGAGATCATGTCGTGCACCAACCAAAACTGGTTCCCATATTCCACGCCCTGTTATAGGGGAACCAGTTTTGACAGCAGGGTGACGTAGGGGGATGCGCAGAACCGGCATGATCTCTCGTGGAACAGAATATAGAAACTAAATCTTCCATCTTTTTAGCAAATCCCGAGTATTTTCCCTGCCCCATCGGTTGAATTTCCAATACTGTTATTTAAAGAAATACCTTTTGATTGCAATGTTTGAACCACTAAATCAGCAAATGCTTGACCAGTTGTTGTTGTACTTGTGTACAAAACATAACCATAATCGGTTTCAGAGCCACAGCACACAATTATACTATAGTATACTTAAATAGATAGTAAACCGGTTAGAGACTCGTCAGGTCTTCCCTGCATATTGACGTTTGTTCTTCACTTCAACCGTGTGCTATTGATCTGTTGTCCATGGTTTGAGTTTGTGACCTCTGATATTGTTGTGACCCTCAATATATTTTTTATTTTTTTTGTGAAAATTGAATTTGAATTAATTTACAAAAAATTAAAATCTTCCAAAAAAAGACATTGGTTATGTTTAATTTAGCGAAACTAGACATCATTGAAATAAAACAGTACAAAAATATCTTCGATCATGTAAAATTTTCAGATTTTATTGGTGAGTAATTATTTCATAATATTATAAATAAAACTAAAATAAATTAAATTAATAGAACAACACGATGAGCCAATTATATTTAATTACCCAGATCCTGATGAAGGATACAATAACAACTTTTGTGAAATAAAGCCAAAATTTAACAGACGTCTTCTTAAGACAATAGTGATTTTCAAGGATGTAATGTTAAATCGTTTCAAATGTGATTTGATTTATTTAAATAAAAATTTGTTTGTTTATATTTTAAGAAAATATCACAGAAAATTGCGGCTGCAGTTAATTTTGGGGTAAATTTTTTTGATATTGAACTTGACCCAATTGTTTTGAGTATAGATCAGATAACTATAATTCTGAAAAGTTTTGCTGTGTACAAGATCAATGTGGCGAATTATTTAAATAATGCTTGTATCACCCAAAGCATTATTAGTAATAATGATTTTGTATCATTTCAAATGACTAATGAAATTATAGAATTATTTAAATTCAGTAAAAATAATAGTTTGATTAAAAATCCAAATGATTTGGCACAAAAATACATACCGGAACAGAAGAAATATAATAAAAAAAAATAAATCAGTAAAAATTGCAGCCCGTCAAGCCATAAAAAATCAATTGAATAGTGTACAATATAAAAATTTAATTACACTGTTTGATAGGTGAGAGCATTAGTAACCATTGTATGGCCATTTTTTTTTATTGAATTTTACTTTCCAACAAATTATTATAAGTATTATAATACCTAGATTTTATTTAATTTTGAAGTTTCTATTGTAACGAACAATTTGAAGTTGGATGTCACAAAATACTGTACCACAGTTCAGAATTTAATTAAATTATCGATATATTTGAAAATAATAAATTACCATATCAATTCTGGGAATTTATAAAAAAAAGGAATTAAAAAACAATAGTCAATTTTTTCAAATGTTAGAGTATATAATCCAAAATATTGATTATACAAAATTAAACATGGTTGCAAGCAACGGATAGTGAGTATTTAGTTTGAAAGTTTTAACAATTAAACACACATTTATTTATAATTTAAATATTTCTTTATAGAATAGGAAATAGTATACTCAATATGAAAGATGTTGTTTTGTTATACATGAAATGTTGTAATATTAAACACATATTAGATTTTCTTTCGGTGTTCAATACCTATTCTCCTAATTTTATTTGTTCTGATTGTTTAATTTATTACAGAATAATTAAAATGCATTTTATTAATTTATAGGTAATATACTCTACTCCGGTAGAAACGATTCGGTTTATAATTCATTAAAAATCGAAATATCATATAAACTGATACTTGGAATAAAAGTAAAATGGCAGGGATTGAATGGATGCGAAGCTTTATGAAAAGAAATAGTGGCTTAGTCAGTTTACGCAAACCAGAAAGTTGTAGTTTATTTAGGGCCACTTCATTCAATAAACAATGTTTCAATTTTTTTTAAGAACTTAGAAAAGATAATGAAAAGATGTCCCTCGTTTGCTGATGGTTCTAGAATTTTCAATCTCGATGAAACTGGTGTCACAACTGTTCAATCACCAACAAGAGTTATTGCACAAAAAGGTGTTAAGCGATTGAATCAAATAACAAGTGGAGAGAGAGGTG